TGTCATGAGACAAAGTGTATGTGAACTGCTGTATGGAAAGTGAATTTGCTCTGTAAATTTTCACCCAAATCACAATTTAAAAAAAAAAAAGAAGAAGAAGAAGAAGAAGCTGCCCTACACAACCTGGGTTCACTCCTGGCCAAGGCATAAGCCTGACCAAAACTATAGTTCAAGCAGACCAGAAGTGCAGCTGGTGAAGCCAGGAATGTGTGTGTGCCTTCTTACCTAAAATTAGCCATGCTTATTTCAACACAGCTTCATTGGGCTCCTCTATTTTAAGGTGTGCAACCCCAAATTGCTTTAGAGCACGTAATTGCTGCCAAGGTCAGTTTCTGGAGCTAAAAGTATCAGCAGACTTTCCATCAAGGCTTCAGGATTGCCAGCTAGACTCCACAAAAATCCCATGCTTAATCATCATGCTATCTAGTATCTAACTATACTGAAATTAAATCATACATTGGAAATGTCCATGGAAACGGACCACACAAGGACATACTAAAAAAGATAAAAGCAAGAAGAGGAATTCCTTATTCTTTTCTGCCACTGCCACTGCCCCTGCCTCCACACATACACATATACAGTATGACAGAGGGGTGGGGGGGAGAGACTAGCAAAATCACAACACTAGTTTTCTTGTCTTTTCAGAAAACGATAGAGAACTGACATCTGAAACACTTCTAAATAACGTCACACTGTTGTTTGCTTGCTTCTGAGAGTGCTATGCTACAGAACTAAATCCAACAGAAGAGCCTACTCCGTCTGAATTCTGCATTCTGGAAACTCTAGAAGGGAACCGGTGTGGCTTCCATTGGTACTGGCAGAAGAATCTGCCCAAATGTTTAAAAAAAATGACCTACATCTTCAAAGATGAATGAAAAGACTAGTCCTTCCACAAATTGAAAGGTAACCTCCTCAACAACTGGTTAAATTGAACTGTCAATTATTTGGGCTTAGCAACACAGTTGAAATTCAAGCTGCACAGATAACATTCAAGATTTCTATAAACCGTGGCAAAGACCTCATTATCTATTTTATCACCAGCAACTTGAGACACTAGTTGCAGAGTACACATTTAACACTATTACTTGTCCTAAAACTATCATGTTCTAGCAGTCTACAATAGCACTTGTTTTGATAGATTCGATCAATTAAGAATTAACAAAACACATGTACCTTCATTTTCAGAAGCATGACATTTCACTTTCAATACCAAATCAAAGGTTCTTTCTGGATTTTCCCTAAAAGAAAAAAAGATTGTGTTATATATATATATATATATTTCCCATGGGCTATAAGGATCTCTAGAAAGTTTATATGGGGGCAATGGTGGTTCATGGTTGAATTCTCCTCTTCCATGCAGGAGACCCATGTTCAATTTTCTGACCAATGCACCCCAAGCACAGCCACTAGGGGGTTGTCAGTAGGGGCTTGCATGTTGCTATTATGCTGAACAAGTTTCTGTGGAGCTTCTAGATTATGATGGACTAGAAAGAAAGGCCTGCTGTGCTACTTCAGAAAATCAGCCAGTAAAAACACCCTACCAGCCCACAATGGTCCATTCCACAACTGATGATGGAGATGATGCAAGACTAAGCAGTGTTTTCTTCCACTGTACATGGCTCATGATGACTCAGGGGCCAACTCTATAGCAGCTAACAACAACAACAATCAAGCTTCTATTTCCTTAATTCTAAAAGTAATCTTGTTTTTGCCTCAATTTATGCCAAGTAACCATATGACTAAGGAGCACTGGTAGCATAGTGCCTAAGGCATTTGACTGTTAACCAGAGGCCTGGTGGTTCAAATCCACCAGCCACTCCATGGAAGGAAAACTGGGCAATCTACTTCTGTAAAGATTTACTGCCTCAGAAACACAAAGGGGGTGGCTACGAGTCAGAATCAACTCAATGGCAGTGAGTTTGGTTGTTTTTTTTTTTTTTTTTGGAACTATATGACCACAGTGTACCAGCAATAACAATAAAGAGCTGAGGCTTGGAAGTTTAAAGAAGGGCAAAGCATTTAACTTCTGAACCTGTTTTCTCCCCTATTAAGAGCATTACTGTTCTTTTTACAGAATATCTGTGAAGATTATAAATCAAATAATTTATATGAAAGTACTTTATATATTATGAAGTGCTGTATAAATGCAAGGTACTCCTGTCACCTTACAGAAGCTAAACTGGAAAACCACTGTTTTTAAGTGTATTTACACCTCACTCTTCCAACAGAGCTTAACAGCAGTCTCTCAAGCTTTCTTCAAAGTACTGTACTTGCAATGTAAGTGTAAATGATGGATGCCTGCTTCCACCTGCCATGTTCCTAAAATATTATGAGCAATGAACAGAACTCCTAGACCCCCATAAAACATTTAAAATGCTCCTTGAATGTGACACTTTGGAAACACTTTTCTGGAGATGTAATTACTGTACTTATACATGCTTAAAGCAGCAAACTATAGACAGCAAAAAAAAAAAAAATTCTATGTCAATTATCTTTGGGGAAACAGGACATCTGTCTTAATATTAGCTTTCCCCACTATGAATGGAAAGATTGCTTAGCTTCAATCAGAAGTTACTTTTTTACTTATTTCTCACACATTTAACCTTTTCATTGGTTTAATTCCCCAAAGCAAATCGTGATAGTTTTGTTTTAATCTCCCTTTCTGCTAGAAGATACAAGATTAAGCCGAATCTGATACCACAACATCCATGTGACCAAATTGTTAATATATTTCCATTATTCCTGCTAACAAGTTCTTAGTACCTTTGTACATTGGCTGTTTTTTTGTTTTGTTTTGTTTCCATTAGCTGTTTTTAATACAAACCTTGAAGAAACTAATGCCAGATTTGACTGCTAAATAAACAGTGATTTTTAAAAAAGTTTTATTGCAAAATATGAATCTAGAAACATAGGAAGTGGCAAGCCATATAAATTAATTTTTAAAAAATCAATTTTCTCAGCTCTCTCCTTATCAACTTCTTTCAATAAGAACAACCTGGACTGGTGAGTTTCTCCCTTATAATGTCAAAAAGTATTCTTTTTTACTCACTTACCCCACACTCCCTCCATGTCAAACACTGAAGAAAATAATTCTAAATTGCTTTTTCCAGTGTTCTTAATATTGTTTAGAATCTCTATTGTTGTTGTTGTTATGTGCCCTCGAGTAGGTCCCGACTCATAGTGACCCCTCCTTGGGTTTCCAAAGCGGTATCTCTACGGAAGTAGATTGCCCAACCTTCCTTCGGAGGAGTGGCTTGTGGGTTTGAACCACCAGCCTTCTGGTTAGCAGTCAAGTGCCTTAGGCACTACGCTACCAGAGCTCCTAGAATCTCTATTAGGTGTAAAAATTAAATAGTGATACAATTATACTTCTGTGAAAGTAATACAAATGTACATGATATTCACTATTTTAAACTTTGGAGTGACAAGAAAGAAGAAATTCTTTCCAAAGTAACTTTCAGGAAAATAATATAAAAACTCCTATCTCTAAAATAACTAGAAATAAAATCATCACATGTATTCAAACTGCTTTTTACCTAATCAACTGTTTACTTCTGCATAATTTCTCGTGAAGAAGACACATGCAATACCATCTGATTGGATACCATTTTGCAAGCAACATGTATATGAATGATGCCTATATAAACAAACATATTATTTATACTAGCAATGTACAAATATAGTATTTATAGTGTGTAGATGTATACTATAAACAGTACAGGGAAATTTAATTGATAAGAGAAATCAGAAGAAAACATCAGAGACAAAACTAATGGATACACTTCAGAAAAAGATACGGCTGTCTTAATGCTAAGAAAGCACTTGAAATAATAACCGCGTAACCTCAACGCTGACACCCTCCCGGGCACCAGCAAGACTCAGACAAGGACGAGTCAAGTCTGACACACTCGAGGAAGAAGGAGACACCCACCGCGGGCGGTGTCAGAAGCCGCCCGGCCTCCCCTTCTCCCTGGGTAGCGGCATCGACGCTGCGCTCCTGAGGAGCTCCGGGAAAAGCCGCTCCGACCCCGCGGGCCCGGGACGTGGAGCCGACCAGGCTTTGCGGCCTAGCGCCGTCCCGCCGGGGACACCCGGGGCCGAGCCGCCCCCCGCCCGCGGGCAACGTCGATTGTGGCGGGGAGGCGGCCGAGCGCAGGGACGGCAGGCGAGCCGGGAGCGCGGGCCGCCCACCCCGCCCGCCCGTCCCCTCACTCACTTGGTTCTGCAGTCCATGGTTACATGTCGGTGTGGGGCTGTCCGTCCCGCCCCCTCGCGCCGGCCTCGAAGCCCGCTGCCCCGCCACCGGAGGGTCGCACCGCCCCCACCCACACTGCCCGCCCCGCCGGGGTAGAAGCTGCTCACAGTGGCAGCGGCGGCGGGCCCATGTCGGCGGCGCCCCCACGCTTCCCCGCCTCCACCCCACCCCCAGCGTCTTTCTGTGACAGCAGCAGCAGCGCGGCCGCGGCCGCCGCCCCCGCCGCCCCTGCAGCCAAAGCTGGGGCCTTTCAGTTCCTGCGACCGAGGCCGCCCGCAGAGGCTCCTGCACCTTCTGCAAACCAGGAAGTCGCCAGGAGGGGGAAGGGGCACGCGAGGACGCGCCCGCCTGGCGGCCTTACCTGGGCCGCGTGGCCCGCGGGCCGGAGCCTGCGGAGAAGGAGGAGGGCCCGGGGTCCCCGCGCCCGGGAGGCCAGAGGGTCGAGGGGGCGCGCCAGCCACTGTCTGCCAGGATGGCACAAGTGCCGCTTTGCAACAGTGCCAGAAACACAAGGTGCCCTCTGTGTCCCCAGCACTGGCCCAGCCGGCTTCCTCTCTAGGTCCATTCGGGACTGCAGGGTTTCAGGGCTGCAACTCCCTGCTGCCCTCACCCCATCATTAAAGTACCTGAAAAAGTGCCTGGACCTGTAGAATTTTCCACATTACATGCACACATTGGACTACTAGTAGGTGGGTATTTTTCGCTAGAGCCTTCGTCTTTTTAAGACTACAAATTAGGAGCTTGAATTGATGGTCCTATTTCCAGCCTTATGCCAGCTGTGGCCTGGTTTCTGAAATCCAGAGCTGCCCCTTCCTGATTCAGGGATGTTTCGTTAATGCACCTGCTAAATAGCCCTGTCAAGTAGCAGAATGATAGTGTTCCATTTACCTCCAGACATTCCTATATCACAGATTGCAGCATTATCAAGAACTAACTTGTATTCATTCACAGTGGCAGACCTTATAGGAGGGGCACGCTAGGGGCACTCAGAGAGGGCACCACTCAAAACAATTTCTGGAGAATGAGAATGGGAGGAACTAAAATTTAAAAATCACTAAGGCACATGCGGAACCCTGTGACATAGTGGTTGAAGCGCTCAGCTACTAACCAGTGAGCAGTTTGAACCCATCAGCCACTCAGCAGGAGAAAGATGTGGCAGTTTCCTTCCTAAAGATTTACAGCCTTGGAAACCCTACACTGTCCTGTAGAGTCACTATAAGTCAGAATGATTCTATGGCAGTTTGGTTTTTTGGTTTGGTTTGATTTGGTGTAAGGCACATTTTAAGTAAACTCACTGCCATCAAGAGGATTCAACTCTTAGTGACCCCTCCTTGGGTTTGCAAGGCCTGGTAGCATAGTGGCTAAGACACTTGCCTGCTAACCAGACGGCTGGCGGTTCAAACCCACCAGCCACTCCTCGGAAGGAAGGTCGGGCAAGCCTACTTCCGTAGTGATACTGCCTCGGAAACCCAAGGAGGGGTCGCTATGAGTCGGGCCGACTTGATGGCACGTAACAACAACATATCTACAAAAGTAGATTGCCCAATCTTCCCTCTAAGGAGTGGCTGGTGGGTTTGAACCACCTTCTGGTTAGCAGTCAAATGCCTTAGGCACTACACCATGTGTTAAACAAGTTATATGCATTGTTTCTCTTCGTACTAACCATAAATCCAGGCTAACTCAATGAGTAAAAGCTAGATAGAATTCAGACCAGGTCTGATGCTGATTCTGTACTGCCATCTCATACTGCCTCCCTATGGGCTCTGCTGCCTCATATCCAGCAATTTACCCAGAAGAGATGTAGAGAAATCTTATAAAGGATATTCAAAAGATTGTCCAACACAACAACAACTAGCACGAGCAACAGAAAACAAAATAGATAACCGAGACCTCATCAAAATTAAATATGTATGCATATGTATGCATGTATATTCATCAAAAGACTTTATCAAAGAGTAAAGAAGCAACCTACTGAACAGAAATAAATCTTTGGGAACAACATAACTGATCTAATATCTAAAATACATGGGAGCTCTGGTGGCGTAGTGCCTAAGGCATCTGACTGCTAACAAGAAGCTGGCTGTTCAAACCCACCAACCTCTCCTCGGAAGGAAGATCAGGCAATCTACTTCCATAGTAATACCACCTCGAAAACTCGAGGAGGGGTCACTATGAGTCGGATCTGACTCGACGGCAGTGAGTTTATAGAAAATTGTAACTTACCAACAACAAAAAATAAATTAAATAACCCAGTCAAAAACTAGACAAAGGATATGAACAGACACTTCATCAAAGGATATTCAAATGCTAACAGACACATGAAAAGATGTTCAACATCATTAGCCATCAGAGAAATGCAGATCAAAACCACAATAATATACCATTTCACTCCTACTAGAATGGCTAAATGGTGCAGTGATATTAAGCTCTCAGCTGCTAAGTAAAATAACTGCAGTTTGTACCCACCAGCCAAGCCACTCTGCAGGAGAAAGACATGGCAGTCTTTTTCCATAAAGACTTGGAAACAAAAGACAGTATGAGGCAATGCTAGTCTGTTCTATAGTTTTTCTCTATGAGTCTGAATCAACTCAAGGGCAACAAGTTAGGATGGCTAGGCTTTAAAAATAAATAAATAACAAGTGTTGAAGGAGATATGGAGAAACCCTCATCCATTGCTGGTGGAAATGCAAAAGGGTGCAGCCTTTGTGGAAAATAGTCTTGTGGTTCCTCAAAAAACAACTAGAGGTAGAGCTGCCATATGAGCCAGCCATTCCACTCCTAGGTATGTAACACTAGGGATCTGATACAAGTTACATGAACAGATATATGGTATCACAGTGTAGGCATTTGACTGCTAACCAGAAGGTTGGCGGTTCAAACCAACCATTCCTCAGAAGGAAGGTTGGGCAATCTACTTTCGTAGTGATACTGCCTCGGAAACCTAAGGAGGGATCGCTATGAGTCAGATCCGACTCAACGGCCGGCCGTGAGTTTGGTTTTTTGGTTTATGTTCATCACACACTATCCACAATAGAAAATGGACGGAAACAACCTAAGTGCTCAGCAAAAGATGAAAGGGTAAGTAAAATGTACGTACATATGATGGAATTCTACTCAATGATAAAGAAAAATGGGTTCCCAAAACATCTTGGAACATGGATGATCCTGGAGGACATGATGTCAAGCAAAATAAGTCAATCACAAAAGGATAATTATTGTATGATCTCATTTATATAAAAAGACAAGAAAAGGCAAATGTATAGAGAGCAGAATGTATTAGTGGTTACCAAGGGCAGAAGGGAGAGGAAAAACGGGGATTAATGAAAATGAGAAAATCTAATTAATTATGGGAAAAGCTGAATAGCAAATTATTGCAATTGCTGTCAGTAAGTTGTACACCTATAAAAAGTTGAATTGGCAAATGTTGTGCAATAGATATATTTATAACAATGATAAAAGAGAAAAGAAAAGAAAAGCAGAGTAGCTGTTGAGCCTGCTTATGTACAACCAAACACCTCATGGGATTTGGCACCTTGATTTGCAGTTTCAGAGTCATGGCTTCATGGAACATCCCAGTTAATTGGCCTAATAATATGTTTAGTGCTTCTGCTCTACTTCTTAATTTATTGTTTAATGTCTGTGGTCTTAAAAACTTGCAAGCAGCCATCCAAGGCACAACAATTCATCTCTATTCACCTGGAACTACAGAGAAAAAAGGAGAGTCAGTAATAGGACAGGGTATGGAGTGTCCAGTTGCCTCCATGAACAACTGCCTCCTTTGCCATGAGACCAAACTGGGTGGTTCTTGGCTACCATTACTGAACATTTTAATCAAAGATTCCATAGAAGACTCCTGATCAAAAGGGAGAAAATGCAGAAAAGAATTTCAATGGAAGCTAGACTTTCTGGAGCCATGGCAGGTGGCTGAACCCCTGAAACTATTGCCCTGAAATAATCTTTTAACTTTAAACCAAACATATCTCTGAAGTCATCTTAAAACTGAAAAATAATTTGGATTAACTAGTAAACAATATTTGCCTTGAGTATTACATTTTTTTAAGAACTATATGGGATCAAATTGACAACAGCAACTTAAAAGATAGAGATAAGAACCTTTGAGAACAGTGAGTTTATGTTAATGAGAGAGAGTATGAACTCAGAAAAGAAGGGTGAGAATGATTACACAACTTGAAAAATATAATCAATGTCACTAAATTGTACACCTGGAAACTATTGAATTGGTGTATGTTTTGCTGTGTATATTCTCAACAGTAGCAGATAAAATGTGGAGGAAAAAAAGTTTATGTTCTATATTCTAGTTTAGTGAGTAGTGTCTAGAGTCTTAAAGCATGCGAGCAGCCATTTAAGGTACAACTATTGGTCTCTATTCATCCAGAGAAAAAGAGAAAGAAAGAAGTCAAAGATGTAAAGAAGAAACCTGTCTACAGGACTGATACTCTGTAAGAAGCATGGCCTCATCTACCCTGATAACAGAAGAACTAGATGGTGCCCAGTTATCATTAGCAGTTGTTCGATCAGGGCCACAATAGACAGACCCTGATAAAAAGGAAGATTAATGAGGAACAGAACTTCAAATTTCTTAAAAATAATAATTAAAATTATAAACAGACTTACAGGACCAATTCAGATTAGGGAACTCCCAAAGACTATTGCCCTGAGACACTTAAACCTTGACCTGAGACCAGCCCCTGAGGTCACCTTTTATCTAAATATCAGATTGGCTCACAAAATAGAAAACATCACCCATGAGTACTATGATCCTTTTAAAAATCATCTGTGTAAGACCAAATGGTCAACAATTGCAAGTAAAAGAGAAGGGAAACTAGATTAATATAAACACCAGAACTGAAATACTGAGAATGTTCATAGATTGTGAAGAATATAACCAATATTACTGAAGGATTTGTGCAGAAATTGTTGAATGGGAACCTAAATTACCATGTAAACTTTCACTGGAAACACAATAAAATATCACAAAAAAAGAGAAATATTGAAGATAAATTTTTAAAAAAGAAGAGAAAGAAAGAAATATTGTCCAGTGCTGGGCTGTTATGGAAAGGTCTTGTCTGGAAGACTTCTTGCACTAAGTTACCATTCTTGATGTGATTTTCATTCAAATAGAAGTTGCTTCAGAGTTTATTCATGCAGAAGATAGGATGATGAGAGGAAATACAATGTGATATGAATATAGTGTTAATTATGAGATGTAAAAGTCAGACAAGGAGTCTTGGGAATTAATAAAGAATTTAGGAATAGAGAACCTAAAATTAAATTCTATTACACT